TTTGATAAAACTAATCATAATTAAGCAAAGTAAGTTTTCTAACAAAATAAAGCAAATAACGTCACGATTCGCTAACAATTGGTAAAATTTTTCTCGTTGAATTTATATATCATTCGCATAATTCTTAAAATATTTCTTTTAATGACGCTTTTGTTTACGTTTTTGATTGCAAATTATACTATAATGAGGGTTACAAAGTGAATTTGTTAACATATTAAGGATTTCGATAGTGATATGTTTATTTAGGTAATAAAAAGTAGTTTTACGTTTAGAATCATAAACGTCTCATAAACGTTCATGAGAATGCTATTAGAGATTTTTGTCTCTCACTAGATGTCACTGGCGGCAACGAATGTCGAAAGCCAGTACAAAAATCTACAAGAAAAACATAGGAGAATTTCGACGGTTCGCTAACTGGACCCGTAGCTCAGTTGGTAAAGAGCATAGACGTAGGTTCAAGTCTCGCTGGTCGGCGAAAATTTTTCTGTGTGTTCGATTTTTGTATCCATAATCGTAACAAGACTAGTAGAGTTATTTCACATAAAGAAATCTCAATAAATACAAGTAACATCTCCCATTTTGACATCAACAAACAAATATTCTGAGCTGCTGAAATGGGTGCGCGGCGACAACTTCCGGCGGAAAAGAAAGAAAGTGAGTGTTTTAAAGTACAAAGTACACAATTGTTTGTATGAAAACATCACCTTTGCACATAATTTTAAAGCGAATCAAATAACACATTCGTTGAAATCTATCATGTAATTTAGAGCTGCGAGTTCATCGATATCCGTATGAAATCGGGTAAAAAAATAGTTGTCGACATCACATAGATCATGCAAAAACAAGAAGAGGCAATGTGAAAAAATCGGCAGACTAAAAACAGAGTCGTCGACCTCTTATCGGTCGCTATCAGAAACTGCACTTGACAAAGAATATCGCGATTCGTCGGCCGTGATACCCGTGATAAGAGCGGAATACATTTGTGTAACGTGTGTATACGAGTCCATGCTCCAATTATATACTTTATCGTATATGCACACACTTGTGTTAATATGTATACATAATAGCCGGAGATAGGCAAGCGCCAGGTTCAAATCGGGTTAAAACCCATTAACGTCCGAATCGAGGACAAAACTATTTACAACCACATATTTGTTGTAAATCGAGTTTTGTTCAAATTTAATGATGTTGAGTTTTGTTCAAATTTAACGATGTTATTACCAAATGCTTATTTCTTCTGACCTAGACGATTCGATTCGATTGGCCTTTCTATTGAATCGATTCGCTTGAAAATCGCTTTGAAATAAATCGATACAAAAAATCGCGCACTTGAATCAATTTTCTTAAAAATCGAATCGTAATGTGCATCCTTAATAGTAAGAATCCACAGGATTGCAAGGTAGGTATTCTGTGGAGTTTCTGTGAATGTGCTTGTCTATGGATTGAAGTCTTTGTACGTTACAGTATGGACATTATATATGGAGTATGGACTTGTGGCACCGTCTTGTTGAAACCACATGCTAGTGATATTCATATCATCAATATTAGGCCAAAATTGACTTGTTAACATCTCTCGATAGCGTAATCCATTGACAATTTTCGAAAAAGACGGCCCAGTGCCAACGGCCCAAATCACACAACCACAGAAACAATGAATTTATTGTATTATATTATACAAACCAAATTTCACAACAACAACAAGCACATAGAAAAATTCCTGAGGTCCGCTGGTTCGCATCGAAGAAATTTTGTCTAAGTGTTCAATCTTTGTATTAATAATTATAATAACCTAGTGGAGTAATTTTGAAAAAAAAAATTAATATCAATTCTATACAAAAATATTGTAAACAAGTTCTAGAAAGTAACATCAAGGATTGTGATACATCATGAAATTACAAAATAAGATAGGCTATTTTGTTGGTTGTGCCTCCTCTGATTTCGAGACCAGGGGCCTTACCATGAACTCTTATTTCAGTTCAGTATAGGTTCGTAACGCCAAAAAAAGCGGGATGGTGATATACACTTCATGTAGCGCTGTCTCACAACGATTCATTTTACGTCCTAAACTGAATCGTAATAAGAGTTCATGGTAAGGCCCCTGACATTGTCTTTTAATTTTGGTCGAGAATCTTGATCCAGACTCTCTGATGTGGGTTGCCTGGCACATGATAGTTGTTTCTTCGACAACAAAACATTGTTCAATGGATTGCAAAATATATAACCCATATTCAAACAAAGAAAATAAGCAGATTTAGGTACGAAGTAGTATATTATTTAGATAAACATCAAAGTAAGAAATACAAAAATGCCGCGCGGAAATTATTTCAAACAAGGTACTGTCTCACTCACAGTCCCACGCTAGCGCCACGGCCAATAAAGACGGCAATAATATAATCAAATATCTTACTCAGCGGTGCAGTCTGATAATGAACAGTCCTCCTTAATATACACAACTGCTTTGATATTATATCGGTCAAGTCCTACATAGGCCTTTTAAATTGCTATGGTGCAATGGAAACTTAATCATGAATCACCAGATATCTATCATGGACAGATAAAACGATTGTGTTTTGCTTTAGACACACAAACATGTAAATATAAATACAGCGTGTTGATTTGCATGCTCGCCACATTTACGGTGGTCATTCTGTATCCGAAACTGCACCCAAATCACTAAAAAATAAATCGATAAAAATAAATTTTCTAAATTGTTTTTTTATTTTATTTAATTGCGGTAAACATCGATTCGCAATAACCTAATACAAAAGTCGTTGACTTGCACGGCACGTGCTAAAATAATAGTCTATGATGCGCTCGCTTACGCATAAGGACGAGGTGGGATAATTGCCGACCTCGCCGCATTTCCAGTGATCTATTAGCTAGTCTCTCACGAAATGCCATGTGGTTTGGTATGTAAACAAGAGTTAATGTAAAAACGAACCGCTACCAGGTTCACCAGAACCTGCATTACCGGAGGAGATTACGAGTGTTTAAGAATTGCGCGCAAAAATCGTCTCTCCTTCAAAGTTGCGAAGTTAAATGTGCTAAGTTGAAACCATACTCACGTGTGAATCTTTGCATAGCTGGCCACCAGCTGCGGAGCTAGGTACTTTAGCAATACTTTCATGTAACCTAAAGTTGGTAAGTACCTACCAAATCTAAGTTACGTGTAGTTCCCAGGTCGTGGAAGTTTGCAAACGTGCAACTTGTGCCCAAAAAGGTAAGCAGAGCTGACCCTGTCAACTATAGACCTATATCAGTTACTTCCATACTCTGTAAGACTATCGAACGTGTACTCAACAACCGTCTTCTGTCATACCTTGAAGACAATGACCTCCTCAGTGATCGCCAGTATGGATTCCGACGAGGGCGATCTACCGGGGATCTTCTTCTGTATGCCTGTCACATATGTAGCGAGGCTATAGAAAAGCAAGCAATTTCTAAAGCCTTTGACAGGGTCTGGCACGCAAGCCTTTTAAGCAAGCTTCCATGTTATGAGCTTCCCACTGACCTTTGCAATGGGATCTCGGATTTCTTGAGTGAACGTTCCATTCGAGTGGTCTTAGAAGCCTACTTTTCCGAACATATGGCGATAGATAGATAGATAGCCGGAGTTCCTCAAGATTCCGTACTGTCTGCAACTCTCTGCTGCATTTCAATGATGTGTTAATTCCAGGTACCTTAGCGTATGCTGATGACAGCACAGTTGTAGATAGGTACTTGACCAATGCAACGGTCAGTGGAGAAGAAATCCAGTCTTGTCGAGAGTCCATGGTTAGCCGTTTAGATTTGACGCTCAAGGCAGTCTCCGATTGGGGCGATACCAATCTTGTCAAATTTAACGCTACCAAAACGCAGGCGTGTCTAATTTCCACTAAACGGAGTCCCTTTAAGCTGACTCCGACTTTTCGTGATATATCCATACCGATAGCCGACTGTCTCCAGCTACTTGGAATGGACCTGTCGTCCAATCTGAACTTCGGCAGATACATTGAACCCATGGCCAAAAATGCAGCCAGGAAGCTTGGCATCCTTTCCAGGGTGAGGCGTTACTTCACACCGAGACAGTTGCTTCAGCTGTATCAAGCACAAGTCCGGTCGTGTATGGAGTACTGTTGCCAATTTTGGGATGGCTCTGCTACATATCAACTGACCACCTTGGATTCAATTGACAAGCGTGTCAAGAGGCTTATAGGTGACTCGGAATCAGTAGAGGCGAAGCTGCAGAACCTTGAACACCGCCGTAAAGTTGCCTGCTTATCGGTATTTTACAGGATATATCACGGAGAGTGTGCGATGGAATTACATGATTTAATTCCGTCGTCCCCTTTCCATCATCGGGGAACTAGGCGCAGGCTTGGCTTCCATCCCATTGTGGATATTCCAAATATTCGCACAAAGCGTTACGCTTCCACATTTAGTTGGCGAACGGCTATGGAGTGGAATTCCGTGCCTGCAGACTTGTTCCCTGAACGTTATAACTTGGACCTTTTCAACGCGAGAGTGAATAGGCATTATCTAGGTGTGCATGCTCCATCGTCGACCTCGTCGTCACTTTCCATCAGGTGAGATGGAGGTCAAATGCACACTCACATCAAAATAAAAAATAGAGCTCCTTGTGAAAGAGTTCGTCCAGGGAAGTACTGCCCATTACTTACCCATTTCTGCCGCTACGAAGTTATATGAGTATTACTGCGTTCCGGTTTAGAAGGGTAAGGGTGTTGGTGAAATTCAGGCATATTGGACTTGTCAACTTGTATCAGGGTGACAGGCGCAGTACCCATAATATCTATGCGATTTAAAGCTCGTCTGTGGCACTGCAACTGTTATGGATAGGCGTGTCGCTTACCACCAGGCGCGCGACTTGTTCGTCCCATCACTGCTGGAGAAACTGTACTCATGTTTTGACGATACTTTGGACATAAAACAATCCGTCTTTATATACTCAAATGTTCTCTACAATACACAACTTAAATTCGATCTCTCTTTCTCTTCCACAGATAGGACATAATGCAAGAACAGGACGGAGACGGGGAGCCGGCGCATCACGCGCGGCGTCCCATGAACGCTTTTCTCATCTTCTGCAAGAGACATCGCAGCGTCGTTCGCGACAAATATCCCAACCTTGAAAACAGGTACAAACATAATGTTTACTCTTTCTCACTCATTGGAAATATACCATGATTAAGAGGGAAGGAATAGGCGAAACGTCGATTCCCTACCGAAGCGTAAACAGTCTTTCTTAAAAAGAAACTTTTTTAACCGACTTCAAAATAGGAGGTTTTTAATTCGACTGTGTTGTTTTGTGTGTATGTTACGCAATTACTCCAACATTTGTGAACAGATTTCGATGATTCCATTTTTTTTTGTTGGTAAGGAGGTACCTGAATAGTGGTCCCATTTAAATTTGAAGAAAATATTCAACCTCTAAAGATGGCAAATTAAAGGTGTGTCCGTTTTGTTAGATTTCACCTACTAAACTTGGCAAATAGATGTAATTCCACAAACTTTGGAGCACGGTTTTTTTTTATTAAAAAGTTATAGAATGTATTTACATTGACTTACAATTATATGGACGTCGAGTCCGCGCTAAAAAGTGTCCGAACTTATAGGGCGTTAAAATCGTATACAGAGCGTCATTCACGCTTTAGTCTTCGTTTGTTCGACTGACAGCGAAGCAAGCAAAATTAGACAGTACTGCGATGACAGTACAATTTAAATTCAACGTCTTAGCTTTTTCATATTCCTTTACTTGTCACTACGTTTGAATAGGTTGACTTGGGACATTTTTTTCGTGGTTTTTGTATTAGACCCGTCGTCCATTTATTTGTAAGTCAATGACCAAATACTTAAGATTTTTCATTGATGGCGCTACGGCTAAAAAGTCGTTGAAAAAACCAAACACAAAGATACGACAACAAACACGTAGAAAAATTCGCGAGGTCCGCTGGTTCGTTCCGTGGCTTAGTTGGTATAGCGTCTGCCACGGTATGCTAGACGTCGGTTCGAATCTGGCCGTATCGGAGGAATTTTTCCTGAATGTTCGATCTTTGTATTAATAATTATAACAAAATAGTGTATTTATTTCACATATCAATTCAATAAAAATTTAAAAAGTTATGATTATTGCGGTTCTGCACATTTGCGCGTTCAAAGTTTGACCTCAATTAGGTACTTCTGATCGCAAATCGAAATTCAAATTTGAAGCTTCGCCATGACTTGTAGAATTGTATTTTTTTTTAATGATAAATTTCATGCATATCGTTTGCGGAACGGTTGAGTAATTCCATATTGTGTAATTTGAGTAAATGCCAAGAATGCTTCGCTCGCTGCGCTTCGATAACGAGATAATAAGATAATTTGAAATATATCGTACTCTGTCTAACACTTATCGCAACCGAAAATTTAAGGATATTATTTAGTGATACTTTTAATTAAGAGTCTCAGCACAAATTAAAATTTTTCCCGTACTAATAAGGTTCATTTTGCTTGGGTCGAGCGGAAGGGACACTGGCTTTATTTCAGAATTTATTTTTTACTAACGCAATTAAAGCCATGTGAAAAATACATATCGTATAGTATACGTGTTCCGTTTGATACAGTTGATATTAAAAAAAACATTGGTATATTTAAAGTCCTACTGAATGCACCGGTTTTCTTGTAAAATTTCGTTGTTAAATTTGTATTTTTTTTCTATCGTGAAAATTTTTAGGATTCATGTTTTCACACCTTATAGTAATCAGTGTGTATATTCCATCTTACAATATAATTTTCCAAAGTGATTTATTCAAGCCAACCAAAGGAATTTCAGGTACACACTCTTAAGAACTTTCATCCTTCCCAGATGAGGTGAATCCTAAACCTTCGAAATAACTAAAATTCCAATCATTAGCGTTTATTTTTCTTCGTCAAGTGTCAATTACGCTATTTTTCTTAACAATATCTGAAATTAAATCCAAACTAATATTATAAATGCGGAAGTAACTCTTGTCTGTTACGTTTTCGCTCCTAACCAATGAACCAAATTTGATGAATTTAGGTTTAGAGATACACAGGGCGTCACAGCTACGTTACGGAGGGAAAGTGCCTTAATTATCGCAGATAGAAAATTTTCCTGAAGGAAGACTTCATTTTGATTTTAAAAACAATTCGATCTGCTTTCAAAGATTTTTAAATAATCGCCTGTCTGAACCGGGAATCGAACCCGCCAAATGTGAAAAAAACCCCCTGTAATTTTACCATACTGATCGAAAGTATATCATAAGGATTGTTTTCTTTTAAACAACATAGCATTTATTTCAGAAAAGGAAGACCATGAAATTTAACATTTAATTTGAAATTGTTAAGGAAAATGAAGTCTTTTCTGGCTTTGCCGCTCTCATAACAACTGACATTTTGGTATTGTTTGTATGGAAAACGTTTGTGAAAAATTACAAAAGTTTGTATCGAAAACCAGTCATCTGTCAAGTAAGTGGTGCCGTAGGCCACACGAAATTCTTATTCCACGCAGTTCAAGACACCAGCTAGTTTGTGAAAATAAAAGAAATTAAAAAAAACAGACATAATATACAAAAATTACCACTGAATTGTACAAATGGTTAGTAAGATATTTTTAAAAAGCGCTTATAGGGGGTTCTAGAACAAAACTCAAAATTTGCAAAAAAAAACATAATTTTGTGAAAAATAAATAAACAAACAAAAAACTAAATAAAAACAGAAGGTGGGCAGAAAAGCTAAACTAAATTTCTTCTTTATTTATAGATCAATAACGAAGATCCTCGGCGAGTGGTGGGCCAACTTGGACAAAGAGGAGAAAGCCTGCTACACTGGTCTTGCAAAACAGGTACGAGAGCATTCCTGCATACATATTTGATAGTATTTTAGATATATTTAATGTCAATGATGCATATGCAATATGTGCGTATATAATAAGTTCTAAGGAAATTGTCTTAGGAACCATTAAGTTCTTTTTTTGTGAAATCAATTTTGGCATACATAAATTTTTTATTGAATTGTCCATAAAAATGAATAAAATTGATCGCACATTTTTTTAGTGCTGATCGATACAGTTTTATGTAATTGTGCAGAAGTTAGTCAAATTTCATAAATTGTTTTTCGTACAAAATGAATGAAATTAACTAATTTTTATTTTGCTGATAGACTCAGCTTCTTATAGGATGATTTCATTGCATAGGACGCAAAACATCAGGACAGTAGAACTTGGTCAAATTTAATAAAATTATTATTCATTAAAGACGTGGACTCACGCTTAACCAAAAAATGGACTACGCCAAAAATGTTTTCACAAAAAAAGACTTAATGGTTCCTAAGACAGTTTCCTTGTATCTTCTATGGTTTTAGATTTCCTCATACTGTCCCATTTAAAAAAAATCACTCTGTCTGTCCCAGGGTCCCAAGTCAGTTTTAAATTTTCAGCAAAGATAAATTTAAATCATCTCAGTTGTGTGTCGATAAAATTTCAATGACTGGTCGTACAAATCGTGCGGTGGTAAGGGACACGCCTATCCATGACAGTTGCACTGTTACTCGGAGCTTTAAATCGCAAAGATCTTAGGGGCTCTGCCACTGCGCCCACCGCAGCCTTACACTTTAAAACCGAAACACAGTAATTCTCACTTACCGCTTGGCGGCAGTACTTCCCTGGACGCACTCTTTCACAAGGATCTCTTCTGCTATTGAAATTATAATTTGAAGATATTGAATACTGCAATAGTTGTTATTCGTTATATCATATATATATATATTTGTTGTACGTGATTCATTGTATAAACGTAGATAATTTGTGAAGCAACTTTTGAGAAAAATTACGGTAATTTTGTTAAAAGAATTGTTATTTCGTTTAGAGTTAATTTAAATTGATGTGCAATCAGTATTTTTGTGATATAAACCATATTTTTGTTAACACTTTCGTTGTACACTGAGAATTTAGCAGAGGTCTAATTTTGATACATGTTTTTAAATTATTTTTGATTTGTCTAAACTAGTAGTTTAGACAGTTGTTTTATTTGTAGTCATTGACTTACAATTATACGGACGTCGGGTCCGCGCTAAAAAGTGTCCGAACTTATAGGGCGTTAAAGTCGTATACAGAGCGTCATTCACGCTTTAGTCTTCATTTGTTCGACTGACAGCGAAGCAAGCAAAATTAGACAGTACTGCGATGACATTACAATTTAAATTCAACGTTTTAGCTTTTTCATATTCCTTTACATGTCACTACGTTTAAATAGGTTGACTTGGGACATTTTTTTCGTGGTTTTTGTATTAGACCCGTCGTCCATTTATTTGTAAGTCAATGGATATGCATTTAAATATTTCCCAATGATAATTAATCATAAGGCGTAAAAACCTCGTCGTCCCTTTGATATAGAAATCAAATGCGCACTTATTTTATCCATAAAAAACGCAGCAGACCGTCATTCTCATTTCGTTGTTTAACTGCACGCATAATGAGTAGGTTACCTCAATACATTTTTAGAATTCCCCAGGTCTAAAAAAAAAGAAAAATCTTGCAAAAGGAAGATATTGCACTTTATTCACTGCTCTCTGTTACTAATGGATGAATATCTTTATTTCCAGTACAAAGACGCGTTCTTCAATGCCAATCCTGACTTTAAGTGGTACAAGCTGCCTGCTCCACCACTGCGTACACTAGCATCACGGCCGCGCGAGCTCGACCGCGCCCCGCAGCCCCCGCCGCACTCCCCCCCGCAGTACCTCGAACCCGACCCAGAGCGGACTAACAACAACTCCACGAAATTGGACCTTAATAAGAAGTCACGCGAACACGCCGCGGCGGCTGCTCTAGCTGCTGTAGCCAAGCCTCCGCTTTCAATGTTCACCCCGGGCAAGCTGGCTGACGAATCAAACATGGGTGGCCTAAGCCGGCTCCTTGACGCCGCCGCCGCTCAATCCCGCACACCCAACCCGTACTACTCCCCGACTCCGTACAGGGTCGACACGATCTCACTCTCCGACCGTCGATCTCACGCCCCCGACTCCTCCACACCAAACAAGGAGGACACCATTCGTGATCTCCAGAACGCTCTCTCTGAGACCACACGAGTATTCGAAGACTTCGACGAGAATAAAGAACGCATGTACAACCACGGTCAAGCGGCTGGTGATATATTCACAAACCAGGACGTCATTGATCAGATCGTTGACAAGCGATATTCCGCCGAGGAATACTACCAGAGGAACTGGTCGGACGATGAGAAGATGAGATCTGGTCGCTCGTGCAAGGGAAAACGGTACCAGGAGTTCATGGCACATGGGGGACTAATAGTAAACAAGCGCCAGCGGAGAGATGGCCCAGATAGGTCAATCGATGAAGGTTACTCCGCCTCCTCCAGCTGGGATAACGGCAGGAGTGAGGAGTCTACTTCCACTACTGAAGACTCAAAGCAAAGCTCCGCCGAGATCGAGAGCGAACCGAAACCAGAGCAGATGGACATGGCCGACCAGGACAATAACGCCACGAAGACGTTCAAAGCCGCCGACTTCGACCTCGATGCGAAGATCGCTGCGCTGCCTTCGCTCAGTCTCGAGAAATTCCAGCAGAAGAAGCGCGAGAACAAACGCAGGAAGAAGACGATAAACTTGAAGCCGAAGGTGCAGGGGTCCTCGCACATAGTGAACTCTGCTGCCGCACACGCGGAGCGACGTGAGACTGCGGATGGTTGGCGCGAGACCGTCATCGGCAGCCAGAAGCGCAAGCCCCGTAAGATCAGCATTACACGCTTCGAGATTAACAGCCTGGTGGCAGCGACCGAGCAGCAGCAGCATCATCGCACCCCTGAATTGAAAATAGCCACGGAGGCGCCGGGAGGATTAGCTCTCTGCGGTCGCGCTGATCTCCTGGCGTTGGCCACACTTGCCGAAGTGGCCGCCAGTACATCAAAGCTCTGCGACGCCCCCGCCGTGGCCGAACCCGACCACTTCTCCGCCAAATCGAGCGACGAAAACGCTTCCATGGTATGAGATACCGACTAGCCTTAACGATATTCCAAAAATTATTTACTTTAGAATCAAATAATATTTATATACATAGATCTACTTTTACATTGTACGCATAAAGATATGATTGTTCATTTTAAAAAATTAGTTTTTATAAACTTAGAGATAGATTTTATTTATACTGAGATAGAAGGGAATATTATATATCAATATAAATATATATTTATTTAGCTAGTTATGTAGTCTGCTACATTCTGCTTCTTTAGGTCTTTGATAATTAATATAGGGGTGATAGATAAGTTAGATAGTATTTGGTATCACACTAATAAATTCAAGGCATAATGTATTTAAGAAACTCAAATAATTTGCTGTGGAAGTATAAAATTAAATATATAACACCAATTGAATACTATACATATTAAGTCGTACTAAATCGACCATCACATTGCATCGTTAATATTAAAGTATGCCAAACATACATAAGTCATTTGAATACAAACCTCATTTTTGTATTAACTTTAGGTTATTTGAATCGCCTTAATAGTTTAGATTGTAACAAATCATAACCAAGACACCACATGCATAGACTGCGTTGCATTTTTACGGTGATTGTTTCGTATTCAACACACAATTGCAATGTTTTTTGCAATTTATCATTTACGTAGTTATATAATATATTATAATGAAGTATATAAGTATATGTTGTATACACGATTTTGTACTCACGTGGTTAATTCACCGAATTTTAAAGGTGTGGAGATGTTACGAGCCACAAGTGTATTTGTGAACATTTAAATATGTTCGGTTTACATTGTTTAGTCATTTTAGCTCGATGCGAGTCAGACTCGCTTTTTTGTGATACGTCTGTTAATTATTATAGAAACATAAAAACTATTATTTTTCCAACTACATAATGCAAATTTAGACCTTCTGGACTTTAAATGTCATAAGTATTATAATTAATTTTCTTTATGAAACAATTTGTGCTACTTTCACACTAAAGAACATTTTAGGGTCCAATGAAATAATGTTTTGTTAACCACTGAAAAGGTAAATTCATCATGTACAAACTTTCTTGTCCCCGTCAGGTACCTGAAGAAATTATATCTATTTTTCATGAGTTTCGCCTAATCATGCAATCATTTTTTTTAACTTAGTTGAATGAATTTTAAGTTCGCTTATCGTTACTTCTTTTAACGGAGCAGTGTTTCTCAAATTGTTAATTTTGTTTGTTAAAGAATTGTTATGATTTCTGTGATTTTTCTATCTTTTAATAATAAAATTATATTTTGTTATTGCGTGGCGGTGGCGTTCGCGATCAGGGTAAACGGGTCTCACCTTTAGGATTATGTTGCAGTTGAGTGTCTCCTTTAATAAGCAACGAAATAGAATATAATTTTCGACGCCCTCGGCGGCCCGACTGGGCGCTGGATGAGGAAGTCCCGGGTTCGATTCTCAGTAGGACCGAACTGGAAAATAAGTTTTTCTAAATTGGTTCTGATCTGGTGTTCTGGGAAGTGACTTAGAGTTAATTCCGATGCTCTGGTACTCATGTTGTACAGTACAGACAATTGGTATGTCTGGCACATTATTATCTTTATCGTCATCAAAAAAGGTTAAAAACCCCCTTCCTTTCATTCCGTACTAATAATTAAAAAGAACATTGGAGCCTGAGATATTTTATTATTAATTTCACCCAGTATCGCGAACTTACAGCATGTCTAGTCTAGATAGTGTACCAACACACATTGAACATGTACCTTACGTACCTACTAAATTTGAAAGTGCACTTATTTTATAAGTACGAACGATGACGCCATAATGTTACAACGCTCATCTAAAGACCAAATAATATAGTTAGAAATAGAGAAGCTAGGATGTAGACTATGTATATAACATATAAGTGACCTATTTAATAAAAATCATATAATATATATTGCACAATATATATGTTATACCCTTTTTATGTTGGGTAAAAGGAATTTACGGCTTTAGCGGCATTCCAAATTGTTCAGTATCATCGTATTGTTTTAAAACGTAAAAAATTATGTTAATTTAATTATTTTATTGGTTTTTAGTACCACGCAATATGTTGATTTTTACTATGTATGTAAATTTTATCTATTTGTTATATTTATTCACGGCAAAGGTGAGCTTTTTAATAGTTCCTAAATGTTTCTTGAGATGTTCAGAATCGATCAACTTAAGAATTTGATTTGCCTTACCGAAAGCCTGTAAAAATGAGTTAGGGCTTTAACTATGGGGCCAGTAATGCGAAATTGTAACGGAAATAATGTTAAGAACTCGAAGGTATACGGGCGGTAGTCGTGAGTTAGTAGGAACTACTTTTGGTTTTTTTTTTGTGTATTTTGTCTCATTCGTCTATATCAAACAGGTCCACAATGTTTACAAGCTATTCTGTTAGAAGGCCTTCAATTGTTTTAATATGATGACGTATATAGATTAACGGTAAAAGGTTTAATTAATCATGACAACAATGTTCATACGAACCACTGACCGCAATAGAACGTTTAAATAAAATTAAAAGACGATTGAAGTCATTCTTTTTTTAAATTACCCGTGGTCAGTGGTTTATATGAACATTGTTATTATGATTCAAAATTTTTTAGCGTTTCTTTAAATAAACCCCTAATTGTAGAATACTTGCTTCTGTGATGGGGGTTTTTGTTACAGTTACATCGATAAAATTGTGATTTTTTTGCCTTTTATTGGGCTCTTACAAATTTGAAATGGAGAAATTCGTTTTCAACTTTAAAGTATTTCAAACTGACTCACGCTTATGAAAAAAAACAGATTCTAAAGGTTACACGAGCTTACGATTATTAAAGAAACCTGTAGAATCTATTTTACTAAGAAAATATAATAAACGGTGCTGGATGATCTGTATTTAATGTATAAATTTATCGTTAAGTCGTCCGTAGGTTACGAGAGACGTAGGGACAAGTGATATTTCGATTAACATTGTTCAATGTTAATTTTAGTAATGGGTCATGTACTCTGCAGTGTAGTTTTAGGAACGGTTCAGCTTATCATTCGGGTAAGTTCTAGTTTACAGTTGTGCTATATTTACTGGCACATTTAAAGCGTAATTTATTTAGGCTTAATATCAACCAATGCGACTAGCATGTCATCATTTACCACGCTTTGAAGTTTATTTCAAACTAAAACCGTTGAGTAAGGGCGCCTTTAAATTCGACACTTATATAAGCGCTGCAGTGGCGCCAGAGTAGCACTGCAGGCGCGCCACTACTAATTTTCATACAATATTTAGAAGTGCAGTTGCAGCACCACTGTCGTGACACGCGCGCGCCACTTTTGCAGTTATTAGTCAACTAAACATTAGCTACAGACGCGCAGTTACTGTTACGCGTCTAATTTGAATAACGCACTTAATAGTGACGCGCCATTAAATCAAAGCTATGACAAAAATCGTGTCGTGTGTAGCTGTAACAATTGTCGCTAGCGAGCGCGTAAACTATTTTTTTTTATGGCAATGGTATTCTTTTACGCGGCCTCTAGAGACATCTTATCAGTGTTAGGTGTATGAGTGTTATCATGGGTAGAGGCACAGTATTCTAAACTTTAATTGCAAGCAAGATATAAATTCAGCTCAAAAATCTAAATTTTTTACAGTTTCAAAGTACCTAGTTCTAGAGAAGTATTAAAAATACTCATCGTTAAGCCCTGCAGAGTTTGGCCAAGGTAATGTTCAGGAAAATGTTGCTTGTTTGAGAAACACTGGTCTAGATTTTAGGCTATCAATTACCATTATTTTATATTAGTTAGGCATAATAGTCGGCACCCAAAGTGTATTTGGTTCCAAAGTAAATTGTTAAAATGTTTTGTTACAACAGCGGTTATCTATTATATTTTATTGTAAAAAATAAAGTTTATTCATATTAACGGTTCAATTGTTTCATTTGATGATTTTTATAAACACCTTGTGTACGTTAGAATAAAGTTATTTATTTCACAATGTTATAATTTAAAATATAATATAATATAAGGGCTAACACGATCGTCACTTATATAATAATTATAATATAAAACAATATAATATAACTGTAACAGATAAAAATAACACAAAATAAATTGTCAAAATACGACGTTCAATAAAAATAAAATTACAATTTCTTAGAAGGAAATTCCTCTACATATTAAAGTTCATATCATAACCAATAAAAAGAGCTGCAGTCGAGTATTTCGTCGTTTGTAATACAATAGTAATACATCACATTTGCAGGTGTTCGTAGAATTAGGAAATTAGTATTCTCCCGGATTTCTCGTTGCGATTACAATCTACCCGCATTTTTTAAATTTTGTCTACAACGTCAAAGAATTTGTCGAAAACGTTTATCAATATAAAATATTCTGAGCACGTCAAACTTGACACATACAGATTTAAATTGAACTCTATGCTGCTTAAAACAAAAACGGTTGCGGTCCCAAGACCAAAGTATCAACAATAACGAAGAAAATGGCGGGTTTCTGTAGTTAGTTTTTACACGATACATTTGCAATTAATTACATTAATTTTATTTCATCATCTGTTCTTGGTTCTTGCAAATAAAATCATAATAGAAAAATTACAAATGTGATCCATACAATCATATCTAATTAAAAAGGTAAATTTTTTTAATGTTCTATGTTTTATTAGTAGAAGTTTAATAAAAAACAAATTCCATTTAGTTTTGTGCCTAAAATGCATATCGATGGTGTGGTCCCTTAGAAGATGGAAAAAAATATAGTCTAAGTGTGGTCCATGAAGAATGGAAAAAAGTGGTCACTGTATAAAATGGCGTGCCGAAATCAGCATAAGCATAGATTTAGTTGGTGAAAAGTATGAATTGTCCAGACTACCAAAAAGTCTCAATAATACTGAAGAAAAATGGAAACTAATGACTAGGCAGTATGGTCTCTAACTTTCGCCTGTTCCATGCGGAACGAAGGGGAAAAAATCAGCTTATGTCAAACCTATCGACAAAGAATAAGTAAAGAAGGATCATGGAATTAATAAGTACTTCGTACAACTGGAAGGCTTACTGTGTATTGAAGCGTGCGCCGAGCGAGATGTCATAAATCTTGGTCCGTCTCTTTCTGACTAACAAACAGAGATGACGCCATATTATTTTAGTGTTGCCTAATGTAAAACAAATAAAACTTTCCAATAATATTTAAATATCGTGAAATAATATAAAGACTTTGATTTATTTGCGACCTATTGCATTCATAGTTGGTATGGTATTATTTACAAACATCTTATAATATTCATGGACAAAATGACGTATTGTTTTTATGCCAATTTTTTTTTATAGTCAACTACCGTATTGTATCAAATATCTCACATGGCAATTGTGCGAAAGGGACACACCAAGAAAGAAGATGTCTCACTTGAGCTCAGATCTCTAAGGAGATATTGGTTATTTAAAAAGTATTTTATTGCTATTCATTTAACGTTCATTTTGATATGTCAAAATAATTGCAGTGAGCTTTCCAGTTGTACGAAGTACTTATTAATTCCATGAGAAGGATTCGCTCTGGGCCTTTTGGAGGGAAAAGTGTCGTTTTTATTTTGACTTTCAATTATTTTGTGAAATCTAGTTTAAAGTGGAATAGGATAGTGCTATTGTGCTTTAATCGAAGATTAAAACGCGAAATTATACGAATCTCGAACTAAAATACCCGTATCGGCCCGTTTTAAGGAATCCCGAGTCAATCCAAACACGCCGCCTCAAATTGCCTATCCTCTTTGTGGTGGCCATATTTACAGAAATATAATTAAACGTTTATGTTTTCGGCTGAAGGACTTTGTTTCCATGGCCAGATATAATTTAAAAAAAAATAAGTAAAGAAAAATAAAACTGTTTTATCGTTGTGGAAGAAGGCGGCAAAAAGTTTTTGAAATAGCTTAGCTTTAAATCTTATTTATTTATCTTCTCAGTTCCTATTAGCCACGACGGGCGAGTGATCGTGTTTAGGACGGACGACTTTCCTTTTGACGGTGTAGTTCTTCGTCAACGCCCCGTGTTTCCACCCAGAGGGGTAGCCGTGCTTCTCCACGTCATCCCACCATTGCTGTTCTCCTGACCCCCAGATGAGATAGATGATATTTGTACCTACTAACACGACGAATATGAACCAGAATGCTTGACGCCATTGTTCCACGGTTTGCTGTAAAGAGGAAAATTTATTAAGTGTTATTTCCTGGTGTTGTTGTACGTACCTACCAGTCAGTGGCGCAACGAATGTATGTATACTTTGTGCAGAGCGATGGTGTGGTAGAGATGGGGAAAACTGCTTATTTTTCTAAACGTTTAAACGGTATGCTTTTTTAAAAAAAGTGCTTTTTAAAACGCTTTTTAACCGACTTCAAAAAAAGGATGAGGTTCTCAATTCATCTGTATGTTTTTTTGTATGTATGTTACGCGATAACTCCGCCATTAGCGAACCTCAGATGTAGTCCATTTAAATTTCAAGAAAATATTCCAAACTGGCAAACTAGGGGATGAATGAATTTTGAGGTCGGTTTTTTAACCGGAAGTTAGGTTATTCACTTAAACGATTGTTAGTTACTGCGCATAGACTTTTATGTTAAAAAAAGCGTGCAACGTTGTTGTGTTGATGGCGAAACGCAAGAGTAGACCACTAAAGTAAGTAGTAGTAAGTTTTTTTTTTTGTAAAAAACGAGTTATATTTTTATTTATAACATAACATTATTATATTAACATTCTGTTCATTGGCGTTTAAAAACATAAGTTGTTTAACTTTTGTAGTTGTTAACCGTTGAAATGGAAAAAACTGCTTATTTTATTAACGTTAAAACGTACGTTTAAAAAGCGTGCTTGTAAAGGCGCTTTTCACACGCTTTTTAGCTTGACGCTTAAAAAGTCGTTTAGAAAAACGTTTAAGCGCTTAAACTTTATGTTTAAAAAAGCGTGTAACGTTATGTTGAATTAATTTGCTTAGGAAACATAGATGGCGTTACTTGAAACTTAGGCACGTTGTAAAAAATTAGTATGTATAGAAGCATCGAGTATATAACCAGAAATAGAGACGAAATAAGGGCCAAATATTCCTGGTAACACATTAGCGATACAGCTCTTATAAATATCAACTCTCGTTTGCACTGAAACATAGGTAGGCCAACTACTGACCTGTGTGTACGTCTCCGTATATTCCAAAAAATATTCTGTATTTATTGTAATAAAGATAACAATGCCGTGCAGTTCTATTCAGTGGTGTGGGAAAAACAGCAAAACATATAATTACAAAACAAACGGTAATATAAAATTTCATCGGTAATTAAATATTAAATATGTAATTTATAATTTTCGTCCATTATAGCAAAGCTCAAGTTAACTGGTCGATTTGAAGAGGAACAGTTGACGACACCCATCAATTGTTTCGAACTCGGGCTGGCCAATCGGAGCGCAATTGTCACAGTGATGATATGGCAGAATAGTTTTCAAACAAATTAAATGACATTTCGTTTCTATTTCTGGTTATACACTCGATGTATAGAACTGACCAGTGACCAATGCTTACGTTAAAATGAAAAGCGTGCTTATATGCTTATTAAAAAGCAGACTTTTTTAAGTGCTTTTCGTTTAAACGCCCACCTCTATAGTGTGATATTCGCGGGGAGACGGGCACTGCGGGACGCGTCCCGCAACTATTTACTCTTAGGTTTTGAATAAGTTCAGCAAATTCTACAAAAATCGTTGTTTGTTCTAAATAAAGTATAACAGTTACGAAACAATAATCTAGATAACATAATTTGCTAAATAGGTAATGTAAAATTTAAATCGCGGCAATGCACCTCAGGTTGCCCCATTTTCTTATGATTCAATTATTGTTCATCCAAATGCCAATACATTATACAGGCTGTCCTACGGCTTTTTTACAAAGATTTTTAAAAGTTCATCTGGGAATCAAACTATTTGAAAAAATCCTGAATTTTTCGAAAGAATTGATTCCTTTAAGTCGTAACATAATATCTTAAAGAAACACCGTTCAATCATTATGAAATTTATTAGCCGTATATTTGGAAACTGAAAACATCTAAAAATAAACTGTCACATAAAAATATGGCAGTACTCATGTAAATGTCTATAATTTATTTATTATTGTTCGTAACGAAAAAAGGCACAACTATGCGTACTTTATTACAGCAGTTGCGCCTTTTTTCGTTCCTAGGGCAGAATAATAATCGCAATTTTTTTCATTATGTGACAACCCTTGCATATCTGCGAACGACAAAACGTAAGTACCTACTGGCGGCGGCAGAACATCAAAGACGATGCACTACTGTACGAAAGATATCGTAATACATGCCCACGTGCTTTTTCCACTTCTATCCATTGTTTGTTATAATATAATAGTCCAATAAATGTTCTATATATATACACTAATCTATCGAGATTTATTTTAGAAAATTATATGAAACTTTACTTGTTGTATTTGTGTAATATTTCTCCTCTATTCACACACTCGAGAAAATACGACATTGTAGGTAATGTGATGTATTTTCTCGCCTGATCCTTTTTTCTATCTCTTTTCCTAATCCCATTTTTTTACATTTCCTTTTTCTGTTAGATAGTTTCTCCGTTTTAAGTTAAAAACTTTGTCCGTAGTTGAAATGCTAATCGTTATGTTTTGGATGGATAAAAACCTAAACATATCTAGCTATGTAACATGCGGAACGTTAGATCGCCATAATTTTTGTGTTATTTTTGTAGGACTGACTCATGTCTTGGCCGCCATAATTTTTCTATTACTTTTACAGAACTGACACTGGTCCAGGCTTAATGGGCGCCATTACGGAAAAATATTAATTCTAACTAACTAGTATTGGCGACAGTCGCCATAGTTTTTACGTTATTTTTACTAAACCGACTCTGGCTCACGCAGTGGAAAAATAATAATTCTAACCGACTATGGCGACGATCGCCATAGTTTTTATGTTATTTTTATTATTCTGCTGGTTGCTCTAGATAAGTGGCCGCCATTGACGGAAAATAAACAACAAGCGGAAATGACATTATAAACAAACAGCGAGATAAAATCTTGCACAATTTGATAAATTGAAGGCTTGAAGATTGAAGAGTTTCGCAGAAAAACCAATACTCTTATCTGACCTATTGAGTTATATCACTTGATACCTTTCGCTCAAGGTGAACACGTAGAACTGCGGAGGATAAATGTATTGATTTATTATTCACTCAATCACAACGCAGTTCATTTGTTTCTGTTACCGGTCATCGGAGGAGAAGCGAGAAAAACTGTTAAACTATATCAAATGGTTTAGGTATTATTAAGAGCTCTCATGCCAAAAAAGTTTTGACGTTGGCTCCGCCCAAATTTGTGCAACAAATATATGCGACAGGAGATGTTGAATTTTGCGCATTAAAAGTACCGAATTCGTTTTAGCGGAATACTCTAAAACTAAAGGGATTAAAAAAAATCCGTAGTGACAGTTGTCGATCATGCATAAATATAATTAATTATCTAATTTTTGTCCTAATAACCTGTAGCATTTCGAGGATAAATCGAAAAAAATGTGAAAATTAGAGGTCATTTCGTGATTTTTATCTATCAAGGAAACTTTATTGTTTTATGTTTCTGATTAATGTCTATGCTTGAATATATCGTGTAGTTACACATACAATATTTTATTTTTAACTTTAAAGTGGATATACCCCTCTAAAATCAAATCGAAGATTAGGAATTTTTCCTCTGCTCCCTCTTAAATAACAATCTTACAAAACTTAAGTCTTATAAAACTTGAAACCAACACGAAGGATTCACAATAAATATTATGAAAATGATGAAGTCCTTGAATGAAAATGGTGAACGTTTATGGAGACAATTCTTTGTTCAAGTATGTGTGTTTAATTTTCACGACGCATCAGCGTCCTGACTTTGATTCAAAACGGAATCGATCCGATCGGGTAGTCTCGAAATCAGATGGGTTTCTGAGCGAGAAGATGAATCTGATTCCTACTATATCTTGTCTATCTAATTTGTGAGTTAAATCAGCTATTGGTCCGATTGGAAATGTTAAAAGTTTCCGATCGGCCAGTTGGAATCGCAATTATGCGCCTCGACTCGGAAAAGACGCAGTTTCCGATAGAGAGAGGCAATCAATATCAAGCTGCAGGGTGTCGATTTTCAGAGTGATGAACAGACTACTGCCCAGTGTTACATTCTATCACGTCACAAATTTAGTTTGTTGTATATGCAGTCAAAAAAGTAATAAGTGTGCATAGGCGAGTCGCCGGAGGAGAAGCGAAAAAAACTGTTTTGCTAAATCAAATGTATTAGGTATTTACTATTAAATAACGGTCTTACAAAAAATATACGATACAAGGATATTGTCTAAATAATGTACTAATACATATGTTACACGATAGTATGTACTTTATCCGGTCATATAAAATCCTGAAAACAGGCTAAATAAAGTTAATGTCTAAAACGAATTATTTAATATTAAAATATCTGACTTTGTATAATTTTTATGTGACGATATTTCTCTTGTACTACAGCGAACCTGCTAAGGTTTTAGGTGTTCAACTGAACCCCTGCTAGCCTGTTATTAAATTCACATTTATCCCAAAATTTGCAAATTGCCCAGCGGTTTATCTGGCGCTTGTCAACGTCGGATCTATGTTATATTTTCTTATTTATAATAATTTACAACGCGCAGATTGCGGGACGCAACCCCCTAAAATCCAGTCTGAAATGCCTCTAATTAATACTGGAAAGCTGAACAACGAACGACGTACGCTGATTTTCTTGTCATAACTAACACACTTTTGCAATTCGGTAACTTTCGAGATATTGACATCTGTTTTATTGCTAAAAATTATTATATTAAAGATTTTGCTTAACAACAAAACTGAAACTAAGTAAGATATTAAAAAACTAATTAGAGGGGCTTGTATCCCAGATACGTTCGTAACTCAATTTCGCTAAAATATCGATTGCGTGAGTTATGATAAGGAGAGCAAGTACGTCTACCTTTGTTATACATATTATAAAAAATATCAATATATAATTGACGTGAAGAAACAAGCCATGCGCCTAATGGTAAGCGACACACCTGCTCATAACAGTAGGACTAGCACGACACGTCGCGACTAGTGCGAGAGCGACATAAAGCGCGAGATACTGCTATTCTCGCACAGAAATTACGCGCTTTACGACGCTTTCGCACAAGTCGTGCTAACTCCTACTGGTCCGTTCGTCAGGAGCTATGTTCACCAAAAGATTCCACAGTATCGGACGTAAGAAGAAAGCACAAAAGCAAGAAGTTAGAGGTGTACCCAGTACTCACATCAGGCGTCAAAAGTCCAACCAAGTACGGGGTAACAATACCCGATACAGCACCCAGCCCATTGGCAAATGCAGAGCATGTGCCCGCGTAGTTGGGGCCAATGTCCATGGCGTTAATTTTAACGCTACTGTAGAAACCTGCCATGAACGCCATGCAGGCAATGAAGAAGATGACAGCCAAAACGCGATTGCAGCCCGAGTACGATGCCAGAATAATGAATATTGCTGGTAATGTTGAAGCTGTAAAAAAGCAAAGTTTATGACGTTGAAACGAGTTTCAAAGTCATAAACATAAGTTATTATTAGTACAAACTATGACTTTACGTACGTTTCGGAATAGGCGTTCCATACCGGAACTAGTTTCAAGACCACATACACCACGTATTTTTAGTACAAAGTGACTTTACGTACTTTACTTTAAAATTAAATTGAAGTATTTAAATAGGAGTTCCATACTGAAACCATAATATCGTTTCAAGGTCACATACATATTTTTAGTATTAACTGTGACTTTAAATTTCGAATTAGGAGTTCCATACTGAAACCATAACATATTTTCAAGGTCACATACATAACGTATGTTTAGTACAAATGTGATTTTACGTACGTTTCGAAATAAGAATTCCATACCAAAATCCATTAAAGAAATTGCACTCAAATTTCTTTACAAAAAGAACAGAAATTCTAGTAAACTATACGAAATATTTAAATCCCTGACAAAGCTAGTTATGGGATTATTAGATCGTGAAGTAAACTCACAAATAGTAGTATAAATCTTTCTGCCGGTTGTGATGCTGTGCAACTTTTTCCTGATGCAGTAATCGCAGAAAGCGGCGAAAATAAACGAGAACAAATACATCGCAAAGTAGGGTAGAGCAGCCATCAACCCTGTCTCCTGAATGTTGAACTTGAGCACGTCCGAGAAATACTTGGGCAAGTCTGTGATCATTGTAAAGTAGCCCGCGTCGTGACCAACCTGCAATACATACAACAAACTTAAGGAAGAACATAATATACACATGTAAAAGAAGAGCTGTGACGTCGAGTAGAGGAAAGCAGTACGTTATATCATACCATATACATTTTTAAACTTTCGCATTAACTTATTCCCATCTGATCCCCTAAAACCGATCGCCTGGAGGATCCGATTTATTTTAAATTATTTTCTATTCCCATCGGAGCCGTTCCTCAATCCAGGCGATCAAGAATAAATATTAATATTTCATTCCCATCTGATATCCTGGTACTTACAACTTTATATTTTTAGGTACTGTGGTACAGTCAACAGGAAAAATTTTTGAGAGTTGTACTGTATGTTATTTACTTTATTAGAAATGGCGGAATGCCATGCGGTATTTTTCGATACCTACTGGGGTAGCGATTATCGCTTATATATGAATAGGCCTCTTATCTCCTAAATTTCTACTTATTACGTTAAGGCTTAAGTGTTAACTTTTCGTCACTCATTAGCTTACACTTGAAAAACAGAAACCAAACATGAAGCCACAGTGATAAATAATATACATGATCCGGTAAAAAATTTTGCAATTTTCACCATTGTTCCATTCGGGAAGGAAATGTCATCATTTTCCAATTTTCATAAACGATTTAACTAAATTTCAACTCCATCAATGATGGTGTCTATAACAACAACATTAGCTACTATAATGAATTAATCGACACATTCTTGAAACAAACCGTAAAAGAAACTAAATCTATACAATTTGTACATTAACGTAATCTAAATCCATTATAACTGCTCTCAATATCGAAAGAAATTGTTAATAGGTAATACATACGCACAGACCATCAATCTTATATCTCCTACCGGCAAACACAAGGCTGAACTAGATTTTTTTATAATATCAAGTGACGGGACGAACAAGTCGTGCACCTGTTGATAAGCTACACGCCTGTCCATAACAGGTGCAGTGCCACTTCCAGCTTTAAATCGCAAAGATCTGAAGAGCACTGCCAGCGTGCTCGTCACCCTGAGGCACAAATTGACAAGTTCAATGTGCCTGTAATTCCCTTCAAAACCGAAACGCTGTAATGCTAAGGCGGCAGAATTAGGAAAGGTGGCAGTACTTCCCTTCTACTGCTACTAAATGATATGTTAGCCGAAAGTATGGATGGATAACAACCTGCTACTCTTCTGAATTAGGTACCTCTCACTTACTCCTCTCGCATCATCATTTCTTACAAGTCAACTTATTTTTGATACAATTGACCTGGCCTTTTGATTACCGTGTCTATCGTTGAAATCAATATAGGCACTAAACGAAAAAGTCAGTTTACGGGAAGTAACAATTAAAGTTCCTGAAAATAAGTTTACATTTTGAACTACCGATATATTCTTTTAGTGAAGACATTGTTTTCAACAGACAACATACACACCGATTTTCCCCGTGTTTCGCCTCATATGCGCTATATGAATTTGTCTCGTTTTTCTGCTAACACCCATCCTTTCCATATGATCGAAACAATCGAAGCATTCCCGTTTCTACCTTAGTCATTACGTAAACGTTAATTCCACAACACGCTCAACTACCTCCGTGGACTGCCACGCAGAGGTCCTAAGTTCGATTCCCGGACCGGGAGATATATTTATATACCCACATTTGTTTATCGCGTGAGTTTGGATATGATTTGTGGTCTATGTGTGTGTCCATGGCACCCCGACACAGGGTTTCCCTAGATCGGGGCTAAGTTGAGTGTGTGCGTTATTTATTTATTTAATGTAATTAATAATTTTAAACTAGGTATAAAGTTATGTTAATTGCAAGGTCTACATTGAAAAATTAAAACCTATACACATTTCAATAATATTTGCGTACAATATAAAATACAACGTGGGCTGTCCAAAAAACAATCCCATAGTCAGGGTTCAAACCATCACGACGACGGTCAATTATGGCTGTGGCATACCCAAGCTGAATTAAGTCCTTTTGCGTACACCACAACTGCACAAACGACAGTACAATTTGTAGTCGTTATATTTTGTTTCTTGCTATTCGTCTCTTTTTGTCTTTTAAATTGTTTTCTTTTTGTTTTGTGTATTTTTTATTTTGTTTATTAAATACTTTTATTTTATTTTGTGTGTTTTCAATATTTTTTTGTATCTATGAGTTGTGGCGTTGCAATAAATGTCTATTTAGAATAGAACAGACTTCTACTCTTTACTATCAAGGTAGATAATTTTAAAAAGTCCAAATTCAATGTCTAACTTACAGCAGCCAATACAAGAGACCAAAGCGGTGCCGACCGCAGGATGGCCTTGAAAGGCACCGGGTCCAGTTTCTTGTGAAGCCCTGACGCTGCCACGTTAGCGTTCAGATACTGCTTCTCGGAGTCTGATATGAAGGGATGCTCGTTAGGAGTGCTGTAGCTTAGAAGAGCCTAAAATAGACGTAATATTTGTCACATCATTAAACAACAAACCTAGAGTTTTAAATTAGAATCGAAATTAAAATACGAAACTAAATAATAACATTCAGCTACAGAATGGAAATGTGGCGCGATCGAAATTAAGAATGACCACTCTAGCGTCTTTAGCGAGCATAGAGGCAAACAGTAAACGATTGGGTGAAATGGAAATCTCTGGAAGGTGCCTATATCTTCGGACAAGCTGAAGGTACCGAGTCAACAAAATTGAGTAATAAGTAATAAGCAATAAAGGCTATAAATAAAATAAATAAATTAATAGGTACTCGACTAAATCAAAAGAACCCCCAGGAGTCGCTCACGGACGACGTCGCCCTGACGTAGTTCCGCCGCCGCGAGGACATTCGTGTCGACGCTGTGCGTACGTTGTAGGCAAGACGACACTCGAAAGACGCTAGTGTGGAGGGGTCTCTTAGTAACATCCAAAATGTTAGAGCTCGAGTTGATTGAGCAATTTAGAATTGAAACTTGTTTAAGCATTGAGTTCATACTTACCCAAAACACAAACCAAATCATACCAAGCCCGCCAAAAACATAAAAAACGTTCTCCCAATGCCCGCCGTCTGCCAGCAACTGCCCCGATATTAACGGTCCCAGGATGTTGCCGACTTGCGCCCCGCCGAAAATCATAGCGCCGAAGATAGAGCGTTCCGATGGGGGCACCCACCGTGCGAGAAGAAGTACAAATGCTGGGGTAACTGGGCCCTATATGAATTACAAAAATTGACTAGGCAGGTGCAAATAAGTCGTTCTGAGTCTGAAATGAAACTGTTTGTATATCTTTTCTTTCGCAGATTTTTTTAGATTCAAATAAATAAATAGTCTACTTATTTCGTTTCGTTTTCAGTTTATTGTTAAGACAACAGTCTGATGTGGTAATATAAGGTAGTGTTGTAAAAAACTTGGGTCCGTTAGTCTACATTTATAAACTCGACTCTATTTTGCGCGGCTCAGTGGTATAAAACGCTCACGAGTCAAGTCGAGTCGAGCGCGAGTTTAACAAGAACTCGAGTCGTAAACCTAACTCGGGGTCAAAAATTCAATTCGAAGCGACTTCCACTCCACAAAGTCTCAAGTACAACAAACAGGGTTCAATTTTACTGAATAGCTACCATTGCTCATGAATGAAATAAAAAAACAAAAACCCAATATGGTGATTTAAAAATAAAATAAAAAATT